TTTCACGTTCCGGTGATAAAGGAACGGCGAGCCAAACACGAGAATATCCAATAAGAAACTAACACGTGTACAAAATCACTTGACCCCTGGCTCCGATTAGGGTTCGTGCTTATCGTCGTCCTAATTCCTCATGGGTGATATTGCTAATTTCCACTCAGTAATGGATTCTACAGATTCTTCACTTCCCAGAGACAGAGACTTTGCCAGATTCCAATTGGGGTTTTTGTTTCCTCTTTTCTTCCTCAATCGCGACTCGAGTACTGTTGATTTTGATGTATTGATTCTCTTCGTTGTTTGTGTGACGCGATTTTGGGTTAATTAGATGCGAACACTACAAGAGACGATGTAAAATCAGAGCTCCTTGCTGCAATCTCATCTTCCCATGTCGCCATTGCCATAACGAATCAGCGGTTCGTTCTCTTTCCGCCATTGATTCTGTCCTTTAATTGAGGATTTTCTGATAACACGTGCTTTCTTTGATGTTTCAGAATTCTTTACCTGATCCTAAAGAACGACATGATTTGGTCCGTGAAAACGTCAAACAGGTTTGATTCAAGTTTCATTCTTGTGTTTGAATCACTTAAAGAGGTAGAAAATGAAATTGGTTTTTTTTTCAGGTTGTTTGTTCAATATGTCAAACTGAGCAAGAGGTAGAGAGTAATGGTTTTTGTTTAGTCATCATACTCAGATTGTTCATGGCTGAATTATGTCTGTTTAATCATCATCCTAAAACAAATTCTCAGGTTGCTCAAGTCTGCTCGAATTGCGGTGTCTGTATGGGAGAATACTTTTGCGATATTTGCAAATTCTTTGACGATGATGTGAGCAAAGAAAACATTTTCATTGTTGCTTACCTTGTTTCTTTCTGAACCATTGTTATGTTTTGCAGACCTCGAAAGAACAGTTTCATTGCGACGACTGTGGAATTTGTAGGTAAGGGTGTTTAGAGATCTTTTACTACATAACAATCATCTTGTAAGCTTAAACCTCTGACTTAGTTTTTGGATATTATTAATTTTTCAGAGTTGGTGGGCGTGACAATTTCTTTCATTGCCAAAACTGTGGTATGTAGTTCTGTACCTTTAGCAACTTGCATGTGTTGGATTCTCTTTTGCATCTTTAAAAGCAAGTTCCAGATACGTTGGTGGTGTGTAAGATTGTGAGTTGTCTCCATCATGTGTCCTCTAAGAACAGAAGAATCTATTCGACAAGTGACAATTGTAGTGTAGGGGTTACTTCTTGGTAAAGTAGAATCTTTGAATTTGTTGCACATACAGGTTGATCCGGATGGACCTGTCTTGTAGCTGAGAATCTTGTGTGGCCACTTTTTTTAGTCATCTCGTATGTTGTTATGAAATTCTTATGTAAATAACGCAGGAGCTTGCTATGCAACGGGCTTGCGCGATAAACACTCATGTATTGAGAACTCCACAAAGAATTCTTGTCCTGTCTGTTATGAGGTTTGATTAATTTTGGTTGGATGATAGTAATCAGATTCAAAAGATCATGTTGTTTCTTATGATTAGATCAACCTGGCAGTATCTGTTTGATTCGGTAAAAGTGGCACACGTGATGAAATGTGGGCATACTATGCATATGGATTGCTACAAAGAAATGATCAATAAACAACAGTAATAATCTCAGTGAAACTTCTACATAGATCTAAGTCATTCCTTACAGTATCAAATTCTGATAGACATACCAACATCCCCTCTCTCTCTTGCAGGAACCGATGCCCCCTTTGTTCTAAGTCAACGATGGATATGTCTTCCTGGTGGCACGTATTAGATGAGGAGGTAAAAAAACAGATTTTGGATTTGGTTTATTCAACAAAGTAAAAGATCAACAACCAACATTCTCTTTGCAGATAAGTGCAACAGAGATGCCTGCTGAGTTGAGAGTTGAGGTAATGTCTACAAAATTCCAACACTTTTCCCCATCTCTTGGTTTGATTTCCTTTATCTGTTTTCAGAACATTTACAATCGAACGAAAAAACTGTTTGTAGGTTGCAATTCTTTGCAATGACTGCAACAAGAGAAGCAATGCTCTGTTCCACATTTTGGGACACAAGTGCACGCATTGTGGTTCATACAACACTCGCAGAATCTCAACCCCGCAAGACTCTGTAGGTGATACAGAGTGATGAGTTTTTGAATCCGGGACTAGCAAACTCTTGTTTTGATTGGATCAACGGGTCATTAGTCCAACCATAGAGCGATACGGCAAAACCATTGGGTTTGGTTTGCAGATCTTGTCACCTAAATGTTTACGATTGGTTTATGTTTGACCATGGTCCGGTTGTTTTCACAGATTCTAAAGTGTGATAGAAAAGGAAATTAGTTGAACTATGCAAATGATACATGAACTCAAATCATAAGAAAAAGAAACTAAAAAATGTGTGGCCAAAAAATCGAACATAAAATGACTCAGATAAATGTTCTTGAGACATGACAATTTTGAGAAAGAAAAAAAGATACTTATAAAAGAAGATATATAACGTTGTGAGATGACAAAAATTCCTACGCAGACGTAATTGGTAATGAAAAACACTTGTAGGTATGATCGTATTAATCAAAATGTAATGTTGTATTTGGGTATTATGGAAACTGAAAACGAAAAAGCCCATTCAAGTATTAACCCAACTTCAGATGCCTCCTTTTTTTTCTTTCAAAACTGTGAGGGCAATTTTCAAAAATCACAAATCTGTTGTGTGTATGGTCTTTTGATTGAATGTTGCTACCAACAATCACAACAGTAGGCGTCGTTGCATTTGACTCTCACCTAAACCAAAAGAAAAGGAATTCAGTACTGAAAAAGTAGTAAGTAGAGAGGGTAAAACAAAAGTGAAATACTTTTTAGGAAGGTCTTCCTAAAACTTTAGGAATGCTTCCTGAAATGCTTCCGAAATATGTATTTCTTAAGAGTTTTTCTATATAATTGGGAAGGGTTTCCTAAATGATTAATAAACAAAAAAATTACACACTGAAATTATGCAAGTTATATGAAGCAAAACATGTTTTGTTTCCAAATACCACTAATTTGACTAATCGTCAAAACATATTTTTATATAGTGAATTGAATCTGAAATACATGATGACCACATTAGGTCTAAACTAAACAAGGAAAAAAAAC